GTCACAGGCATAACAATACAATCCGCCCGGCGTGGTCACATATATCCAATCCAAATCATATCACACAGAAAAAAATATATAAGATTACATGTATGTAATGAACGAATAATGGATCTCATGCTCCTGGACTGATATGAATGACCTACTAAAGTGTAAACATGTGCAAAGAGTGCTATCATAGCTCAAATCGGTGATTTCATCACTGAAATAACAATTATCAAGTTCATTCAGAGAATTAGCCTCTATGTAGCCTCAAATGTGGCTCAAATAGTTCACAACAAGGTTACAAGTATGAGATGTTGTAAAGCTTTAAGCTTAACAGTCAATTCTAGGCATATCATTGCCTAAGCACTACCCCGAGCATGAATAAATACCCCGGTGTTAGCACATGGGTTCAAACCCCACACATGTGCGCATCCATAGCATGCAGATATCACAAACAATTCAGGCAACTAGTGCCTCAACTAAATTTAGATAAGATACTTACCTCAAGCAAGCCAAATCACTCCTCTAACAAGCCCTTCCCGCGCATATAAATCTCCAGACGGCTCGAATCTTGCCAAAACAACGCAATACCATCAACAAAAGCCACAGGAAGTGATTCCAAAAGACAAAGGTAAGATCTTTAGCTCAAATAAAAAAGTCAACCCAAAAGGTCAACCCCGGGCTTGCACCTCAGAACCTGACAAAATTAATAAATTCCGAACATCCATTCAATTTCGAGTCCAACCATACCAAAATCATCCAATTCCAACCACAAATCGACCCTCAAATCCTCAAATTTCACTCTCCAATAACATAGTCCAAAAATTCCCAAATTATATCTTAGATTCATGAAAATTAGGTGTAATAATCAATGGGTATTCAATATCTAATACCAAATTCGAATAAATATCACTTACCTCTTCAATTGGGATGAGAAAAGCTCCAACAATCGCCTTAGACCTGTTCTACAAATTCCAAAAATGAGAAAATAATGAAACCCTTCGATTTTTATTAACCTGCCAGCGATTCCGCTTCTGCCTCCCCTAAACATGCACTTGCGATACCGCTTTTGCGGTCCAGACCTCGCTTCTGTGAATCCCAATAAAAATCCTGACCTACCGCTTCTACGGTCAGGTCCCCGCATCTACGCGCCCGCTCCTGCAGAAATTCTCCGCACCTGCGGTCCTCGATCCTCCGGTCCAATTCCGCTCCTATGGTCTCCTAGCCGTTTCTGCGGCCACGCACCTGCGGCTCCTTTCTCGCAAGTGCGATCACACCAGGTTATCAGAAACTTCAGCCAAGCTCCTAAGTGCAAACATGTTCCGCCATCCATCTAAATCATACCCGAGGGCCCCGGGGCCCTACCCAAATATACCAACTCATCCTAAAACACAATATGAACTCACTCGAAGCCTAAAATTACATCAAACAACACCAAAACAACGAATCACATATCGATTCAAGCCTAATGAACTAATGAACTTCCAACTTCTAAAACTAATATCGAATCATATCAAATCATTTTCGAATGAACTCAAATTTTACACACAAGTCATAAATGACACAATGGACCTACTCCAACTCCCAGAATCGAAATCCAAACCCAATATCAAGAAAGTCAACTCTCGGTTAAACCTCTCAATCTTTCAAACCTTCAACTTTCGCCAAAAAGCCTCAAACCAACCTACGGACCTCCGAATCCATATTCGGACATATGCTAAGTTCAAAATTACCATACGAAACTATCGAAACCATCAAAACTCCATTCCATAGTCGTCTACATAAAAGTCAAACTTCGGTCAACTCTTCTATCTTAAGCTTCCAACCTTGGGACTAAGTATCCCAATTCACTCCGAATCATCCCCAAACAAAACCAAATACCCCGGCAAGTCACATAACCAAAAATAAACATAGAAGAAGCAATAAATAGGGGAACATGGCTACAATACTCAATATAACCGGTCGGATCATTACAATAGCGCACTTTGCACATGCATACACCTTAGCATGTCACCTATACCAGTCCACGAGTATAAAATTTGATTTTCATTGATCATGTACATGTATTTTTGTATATCTGCTTTCTTTGTGATATGGATCTGACTGGTAGCTTTTGACCACGTCGAGCGGATTATGACTACGCTGCACGGATTATGATATTGGCACGTGAGTTGTCCGTGTAGCACGTGAGTTATCTTGCATTAATATTATTATCACGTGAGTTGTCCGTGCTGCACATGAGTTATCCGTGCAACACGTGAGATGTCCGTGCGGTTGATATTATTTGCATGTGAGTTGTCCGTGTAGCACATGAGTTGTCTGTGCATCGTGTGAATATGGATCCACCCCCTAGGGTCACCCTTTCATGTTCCTTCTTGATGGTGTACACAAGATTGTGAGAAACCGACGGGTTTTTGGTTGATGTGGACTTTGGAAAAACTGATCAGTGGTTTGGTTTGGTTATTGAAATTCTGTTGTGGGCCTGCGATTTCTATTTGAATCGGGTTACGCGCCGCAACAGGTTAATATTTGGTTATTGCATTTCATCTTTACTTGCAATTTTTCTTGGTTGTTTATCTGATTTATTTGCATACAGAGTTATATGCCAGATCGTTGACTGGGCAGAGTACGTTAAGTTATTGTGTGGATCAAGGTGGTCTTCTTATCTGTGATATCTTGATTTGATCATATTACTGTTCTGTACTTGTTGGAATTATAAACCGTGCAAGTGATTAGCGAGTATCATTTATAATTCTTGCCACTATTATCTCGTCGAGGTTAGTTATGATACTTGCTGAGTACATGTGGTCGGTTGTACTCATACTATACTTCTGTACCTTGTGTGCAGATCTTAGAGCTGAGATGTTGTGGATGACGGGAGCTGGCACTGAAGATGTACCTTCCTTTCGGATATAGCTACCACTTGTCCTTGGTAGTTTTAGATTCGAATTTTGTTTATGTACATTGCAAAAAGATTTTGTATTTATTTCATATCAGCGTTGTTTATGTCTTAGTGACTCGTGACTTGTACTACCAATCCTTGGGTTATTGTATGGGAATTCAGTTATTTCACTTATTGTTTTCTTATTATTTTCATTAGAAATATGTTGACTGTTATTTGGATTACCTTGCGGGTTGGGTTAGGTGCAATCACGACTAGATAGATTTTGGGTCGTGATAAATAAATGCATCAGACGACCTCAAGCCTACCCAGAAATGCATAACATCGGGGCTGAGCCCTACCAACCTATCTCCTCCACCCTATCACCTCTCACTGAGCCTCCACCTCTAATTAGCTAGCCTACACCTCTGGCAGGCCAGATCCTACCTCTAGTTTGCTGGGCGGGTAATGTAGAAACTGGAACTAGAATAATGGCCTGGCTACGCTACAATTCCCTACCCTACAATCCTGCGCAATACCTCTTGTAATGCCCCATATCCCCATACTTGAAGCAAACCTTAACCAAACATAGCTGATGGGTCTGAGGCTGTCCCTGATAACCCGAATCACCACTGTAGATGCTCTATATCGGAGTTGCACTGATGGGAGCTGGAGATGCAGTGAATGATGGCTGACTTGAGCAAGAACCATAGGTACCATGACTGCCTGAAGTACCATGAAAAACCAGGAGTGCAGACTAAACCGACCTGATAGCAACAAACCCCTGTCTCCAAACGAGCAACCATTGAAACCTCCAAAATGATGGGGTCTCTTATGAGAGGTCATCTCTCTCATGTGGCCTCTAATGTGCTCAATCCTCGAAGAAATCTCATCCACCTGAGTGAAAGAAGTCTTAATATCGCCTCCATGACCATCTCAAGTCTGATACCATAGGTAAGACCCTCTATGAACCTCCACACCTTCTCCCTTTCAGTAGGGATTAGGATAGATGCATGGCAAGATAAATAAACAAATCTAGTCTCATTTTGGGTGACTGTTGTATACTCTCAAACTAGCTGCGCAGCTCATCCCTCTGAGTGAGTGGAATGAACTTCTCCAAGAACAACTATGAGAACTGAGCCCAAGTAAGAGAAGGTAATCCTGCTAGCCTGCCCATCTCATAAATCTGCCACCACCTCTTGTTTGAACCATGCATCTAAAACACAGTGAAGTCAACTCCATTGGACTCAACTAGTCCTAGGTTGCGGAAAATCTCATGGCTACGGTCCAAGAACTCCTGGGCATCATCTGAAGGCGCACTGCTGAAGTGAGGAGGATACAACTTCGTGTACTCAACCTCTTCATCTCATCAGCTCACATTGCAGGCCTAACCTCAGGCTGCTCGACAACAATAGACTTGACCATCCCAACTTGTAGAACTCCTAGGGTCTAATAACTATGGGCCATCTTCTCTAGGTGTGAGTAGCGGGAGTCTGAATTCCTCCCCAGCCTGAGAAGTAGCTTATGCTATAGGAATCACACCGGCATAAATAATACTCTCCATAAGGCCAACCATGCGGACTAGGGCATCCTGAAGCACTGGGTAGCAATAAACTCCTTAGGAACCTGATCCAGTCCAACTGGCTCAACTTGAACTGGAATCTCACCCTCCGGAGCTAGCTGAGGCTCGACTGTAGGTACCGCTGCATGTGCTATAAGCCTCAGTGCTACTCCAGCCCTGTCCCTACCCCTGTCCCTCTACCCCTGTCCCTACCACTAGTAGCGGCTGTAATCTGGGGCTCCGACTCCTGCTTGGATGCGACTGAAATGCATCTGTGATAGAATAAGAGAGTAAAGATTCAAACTTTAGGATAGAATAAAGTCGCACAATAGAGAAAGAAAGAAAGTGGAGTTTTTCTAAAAGCCTTATAGTCTCTCGAAGATAAGTGCAGACAGACATCAATCCATGAGACCTAGGCAACCTAGTGCTCTGATACCAACTTATCACGACCCAAAATCCCAACCAACGGGATAATGATGGTGCCTAACACCTTTTAATAGGCAAGCCAACACTTAACATAGATAAGGAAACTAGACTAACAAATAACCGCAAAATAATATGGAATAAGAGTAATACTCAGAAATATATATAAATAAATCTAACACCAAACGATGTTTGGTTTTACGGAGTACATGAGCTAATAAGAATACTACATATAATGTCTGAAATAAAATGTAATACTGTTTGATACAAGAAAATACCAATAACAAGAGCAAATGTGACTCCGAAGTCTGCGGACGAAAAGCAACACTACCTCATGTACTTCTAGGACCCATACCAGAATCTTCACTGGATACTTCTAGGACCCATACCAGAATCTTCACAAGAAGTGCATGCATGTAGTATGATTACAACTAACCTTGTACTTTGTAAGTATTGAGCCTAATCTCGACAAGCTAGTGACGGGGCTAAGAAATAGCAATAGAGGTAATAATTAATTAGCAATAGAAATAGCAATAGAGGTAATAATAATAATAACAAGAATAAAAGTAGGAAATAGTAAAAAGAATCATATTACAAAAGTGATAACCACATTTCTTGAATAGAGCAACAAAAATCCTTCTCGGAAGCTCAAATAAACGGCGAAGAAACAATACACGTAATAAGCACAACCAAAAGCAACAAGGAAGGCTATATCACAAACAACACTAACATCTCATAACACATACATTGTGGCGCACATCCGAGCCAACACACACACAAACATTGTTGCGGCGGCAACCTAATCCCATGGCCATATTGTTGCGGCGAGCAACCCGATCATTATCATAATATTGTTGCAGTGGCAACCCGATCCAACATAGCGACTCACATAGAATCATCCAACAACACATGCATATATTGCAAATTTCATAATAATTAACAAGAAGAATAAATAAGCACAATTTACTATGGAAAGGATGAGAAATGGCAAATCCCAAATTTCTAGAGCTAATCATACTCATGTAGCACAGTAAGGATCCAAATAAGGTATTTAGCATACAAACGATTAAATGATCGTACAATCCCAAACATAACGTAGGAAAGTAAGGCATGAAACAATTATGGTTTGGAACAAGTCTAGTAAAGTCATTTTATAGGCATGAACAAGTAAAAGCATATGACAAGCGAAATCACGTATTCAACAGAAGACATGAATCATATAAAGGCTAGCAAGTAAGAACATGTGTCATGTAAAGGCACAGCATGTAAATCATGTGTCAAGTAAGAACAAATAAGGGCATGGAACAAGTAAAATATGTAGTAGATTAAGGTATAGAACATGTACGAACATGTAATATATGAGACATAAAATAAACTAGTTCCACCCGTATGCTTTATTCACATATGCACTCGTCACCTTGCATATGCATGATACACCTAATTTCTTAAAAATTAAGGTTAACTACGATACTTTACCTCTTTCTGGAACCAAATCAACAATCCAATACTGCTTCTCCTTTAGCACAAGCCTCCAAACAACTAGAATCTAGTCAAATAGTGTTTAAATAAGTCAAAACAAACTTTAGAAACTATCCTAGTATAAAAAAGGTTCGATTTTTATCACATTTGGAAAACTCAACAAAAAGTTAACTCAGGCCCACATGGTCGAAATCTTATTAAGACCAATTCTCGTTTACCCATTCTCCCCCGAGTCCAAATATGTGATTTGTATCAAGATTGGACCTCAAATCAAGGTCCAAATCCCCAAAATTAGTCCTCATAAGTTTTTCCCAAAACCCTAATTTCTACCTCATAAGTTTTTCCCAAAACCCCAATTTCTACTCTTTATAATACTAGATATTGGGATACAAATATATGGGTATTTATGGAAAAAGTCAAAAATAGGTAAAAATTACTAAGCAACGAAGTTGGGATAAAAATATCTTCAAATATCTCCTCAATTCGTGATCTTGCTCTCAAAAATGGTAAAAAGTTGCTAAATCCCGAATTTTAGCCCTTTAAATACCTGGGCTTCGGGTGTTCTTCGCGTTTGTGATGGCTCCTCGCATTCGCCAAGGAATCTCCCCTCCCAAGCCTTCGCGTTGGCGATCCACTGGTCGCGTTCGCGATGAAGAACCAATTGACAGTCCCCAAGATCTCCCATGCATGCGCGTTCGCGTGAGGTTTGCCGCGTTTGCGGCCAATTCGCCCAGGACCTCGCGTTCGCGAGCTTCCCCTCATGTTTGCGTAGTGTAAATCACCCCTGCCCTAATTTCTCCCTTTACGATCGCGAGACATACTTTGCGATCACGAAGCACTATGAAACACCAGAAAATCAGTTAACTCAACAATGCCAAAAAATGATCTGAAACTCACCCGAGCCCACCGGGCCCACTCCAAACACCCACACAAGTATAATAACATTATACAAACTCTCTTGCAAGCTCAAAATGCTAAAATAACATTTGAAATCAAGAAATAAGCATCAAAACTCAAAGATTTCAAAGTTCTTAAGTTCAAATTCTCAACGTTTTAAAATTGGTGCTGAAACAACTTCGGGTCACTTGTGACTCAACCAAACGTGCGTACAAGTCCAAAATCATCATACAAACCTACCAAAATTATCAAAACACCGATCTGAGGTCGTTTATCAATAATGTTGACTGTGGCCAACTCCAACCATTTTCAAGTTCAAAAATCAGGCTTTCTTTGAAAAATCACATTTAAACTTTTCGGAAAACAAAACGAACCACGCACGCAAGTAATAAATAATTAACGCTATGTAAAGTCTCAATCATGAAATGGGAAGGTAGAACTCGAAACGACTTACTACGTGAATATCATCCCATTCCACACTATAACTGTCACGACCCAACACTACCATCCGGTCGTGATGGCGCCTAACTCTCTTGCTAGGTCAGCCAAGCATAAAAATAACAAATCAAGATAGCGAATTACAAAATAATACAAGTCTAGAAGCAAAAATATCATAAATAAAGACTACGCCAATACAATAAATCTCCCATAACTGGTAGTATAGAGTCATGAGCTCTACAATAGGAGTACTAGTCTGATAATAACAGTAATTGAATTGAAAAGAGACGCCAAGGTTTGCAAACAGGATGCAGTTACCTCGTCTCTCAGCAACTAAACAATGATCTAAGCTCTCAGCTAGGGCCCACACTTGGATCTGCAAAATTAAGTGCAGAGTTTAGTGTGAGTACAATTGACCCCATGTAATCTGTAAGTATCATGACTAACCTTAGAGAGGTAGTCGCAAGAATCACCAATGATACTCACTTGATGAAATCTATACAAGTCATGAAACATACAAAAACGCAGTAACAATACCAAAATCTATGCATAACTTCTAGTAAAGCTCATGGTGCACATAGAGAAGATATGAATGAAAATTAAACAAGATAACCGTTTAGCATATAGAGAAGATATGCATAAAAAGGCCAGTACATAGGTACGAAGCCAGCATATAGAGGAGATATGCAGTAAAATCATGTATACACCCAAGAAATTTGCATATAGAGGAGAGATACCTATCCAACACTGATTAGTTTTTCACAACCGTGTGTAATAAAGGAGAAACATGAGAGGACGATCACCTAGGGGGATGAATCCTTATCCACATGCTGCACGGACAATGTAGGTGCTATAAAAATCGTACGGACAACTCACATGCCACAACCAACTCAACCCGCACGGACAACTCACTTGTTGTCAAACCAGTCTAGAATACCGAAAGTGAAATACAAGTGTATGCATGTTTGAAGTGTACAACTACGGCTCAGATTAGACGGATATGCCACAAATAGAAATTATCATGTTTGAAATGGAGATTAACCTACACATAAATCTCCAACATATTTCCCGAAGTCACATACTCGTACAACATATAAGCATTGTTATACCCCATTTTAACACGGGTCAAATTAGAACATAACCTATTGGTAGTTCTAGAGGTTTAATTGATTAAAAGATTCGCCACCTAATTGATTAAGGGTGAATTAGGAAACCTTATTTTATTAAAAAGTTAACTCCGCTTTTATGGTCTTAACCTAAAGATTATGAGTACAGGTTATATGATCCGTTAATAACGGTTAACCGATCAAACTTAGGTTGTTAATTGGTTAGTCTTAAAAAAATTCTTGGTTTAATACACCAAAGCCAAAAGAACTTAGATGTTTGAAAAGAACTTATTTTGGTTTAAAACTCAAATCTGGATACGTTATTCATATCAAAAGACTTACCAAGACCCTGGCAGAATCCAAATCCTTGAGTGTTCACGAGTTAGAAAGTAGAAATAAAGAGAAGGTTTCAAGTCTTCATATAAGTTAATGTTAATCCTATGTGATAAATGAGTATTCTATTTGGCAGAAATAATTAAATAAACTTAATTACCAAAACATATGCTAAACATTAGAAAAGCACAAGTACAAATAAAACAGCGGTCATAAAGAAGTTATATAAAATGAATGCAATAAAAAGATAAGAAAGACGCCATAGGCGCCCCAAGCGTTTCACTTTTTTTTTCTTGCTATCCGGTGTATCTATAGGAGTGTGGGATGTGATTACTCCATGCTCGGGTATGGGAGAGTCTTGCATTAAGACTCCGCCTGCTCCAAAGTGTACATGCAAAGAAAGGGAAAAATAAAGAATTAGGAGTCATCCTTAACAGTAATAGCATATAAAGGCAATAAAAACTATTATACTTCTTTTGATTCATAACAGGACCTTAGTAGTATATAAGTCCTATTTCTTGCAGATATTACCGATGATGATCTGCTTTAGTTAGTTATCCTCTGTACTAAATGTGTTAGGTGAATACATAATGAATGCACTTTAAATTATCGGATTCAAAAATAAAGAAGATATGCTGTCATACAATCAAGATTTCAGGACTGAGAGGAAAAGACTTAAATTTATAATCTATTTACAATCCAACAATATGTATTCAACAGTTAGTGATAACCATTAGACAATTTCTATGGTTCGATAAACCTACATGCGTACTCTTCTATGGTTAAACGAATCCAAACAGTAAACTACAAAGCATTCTATATTACTCAAAACCAATAGTCTTCTACTTTCAAATTCTATTACTATTATTCAAAGGAAATGGACACATAATTTCTAGATTATAACTTGAAATTATCATGCTCCTTAAAAGATAAAAAGAGACAGTATTTGGCATGGTAGGTTTCGCATACTCATGGTAACTAGACATGAATTATACTCTCTTAAAATTCTCAGCTAAATAATGGGACCTATAGGCATAGTATTTATAAACAAGTAGTTTGACTAGCCTATGACCAGAACATAACTTCCAGTAAATAATGGTAGGAATTTATTAAAAAAATGAGACCTAAATAACTAAATCACGATTTATATATTTAGATAAAAATACCGCTTAAGATACGACTTTTAACAAACTCAGGAATCACAGAATGTCATATTAACTTAATGGTTTATCAAACACATGCCGAATTCCTATTTTCATGATATCTAGGACATAAGACATGAATTAATCTCAACTTAAATCAAATTAAAAAGTATTCAAAACTAGCAGATTCGAAAGAAAAGGTAAAGGATGCAAAGGAAGAAAACACTGACCACTCAATCTTTTAAAACTACATGCTCATCTTATAAAATGCTTAAAGGCATGATTTTCACACAACTCCTAAAACATGACTCTTATACTTAAATCATAATTCGTGGCTAAAACAGCATGACCCATTTCATAGAGTAATTTTAACAAACATGTCTTCTTCACGTTTAGTAAGTAAACAACTAGAATACGACTCACTAAGGAACGTGATTTCTACAGAAGACGAAACAACAAATACTTTACATCTAATAACAGAATAAGGGAAGATTAAAGTTTAGAAAGAAAACTGACCTATTGCGGAGCAGCGAACCGAGGCACGGATCTTAGATTCCGATTTCAAGCCCGCTCCTTCGCCTCGGACAAAAGCAGATTCGACTAAAATAAATAAAGATAATCGATTTTATGCAAGGTTAAATACCCAACAGAAACAGCAGGGGAGTCAAAAGAATGAAGCTTTTCTGACTTCTGAGATGAATATCAGTTAATAGGCAAAGGATGATTTATAGAGGGGAAGAGCGGCGGCTCCGAGTTGTCCCAAAATTATTGCCAAACACGGGTATTTATAGCGGCAGATTTGAGATAGGGCTTCTTGAGCGGGAATTCTTCAGATTTTGATTTTGAAATGGAGTCAAAGCTATTGAACCGTTTGAAATTTGAACGTTGATCTTGCAGAAGAATTAAATGAGGTGCAGAGCTTCTTGTTCTAAAATGGTAATGGCAAGTCTGCCATGGCTGAGCAACATTGAAATTTTTGTAAAGAAAAGGAAAGGAGGAGAAGAAGCGACCGTTGAGGAGAGTGGAAAAATTAAAACGCTTATTGTGTTTGGGTATTTCAGTCGTTGGATTAAGAGTTTATACGGCTGAGAAAAAGTCTGGACTATTTATCAAAACGACGTAGTTTTGATGGGGTTCTAGAGTGTTCTATTGTTGGGCTAAAGTAGAGGACTTTGGGCTGCTGGTTGGGTGGATTTTCGCCGACTTAGGCTTGGGCAAACTGATTGAGAAGGCAATATTTTGGTGTTTAGCCTCCTGGGTATTTCTTTGGGCTTCTACTTAAATAAAATATTTAATAACCATATTATATAATACTACGTAATATTAGCATATAAAATATCCATTACATTAATTGATAATTATAAAACTCTAATATTCTTGGAACAAATATTTATAAAGCGTAGAATTAAAGAAACGTTACTATTTAGCTAAATAAAGGAAAATGATATGCTTTTTCACAAAATGCGATAAGAATGAATGAACGAATGAATAATAATGATAATAATAATAATAATAATAATAATAATAATAATAGTATGCATAGTAATAGTTTTAATAATAATAATAATAATAATAATAATAATAACAAATAGGCATAGTTTGTATTAAAACAAATAGTAGAATAATTATCTTATATTATTAGTGATATTAGAAGCTTAAAGAAATAATTTGGAAGAGAGGAGGGACAAAATTGGATGTCAACAGTTGCTCCTCTTTGACCGGAGACGACGAAAGAGTTTTCGGACAAAGAATATTGACTTAGTAGCCAATTTTGTCCCGACCATGAATACATGTTAAGGGTCTGGACAGAATCTTGGAAAAGTACAGGAGCAAACGGGAATTTTGGATGGTTATGGCCGCACTCCGGTCTCTGAGTTGCCTACATATCTAGGGTTGCACGAGAATCAGGCCATATGTAGTTCAAAACTTACGGTACCCTGGAGTAGGACTTAATTATTTATGCGGATCCTAAAATGCTGCCCCAATGTTGAATTATAGAGACACTAGGTACCATGATTGAAAGAAAGATGTTTAAAATAAGAATTTGATTAGGAATTCTGAGGGTCTGGCCGAGCGGAGTTCGAAGTAGATCCTTGACCTTTGTCGGAGAGTTTGGTATCCCTGTCCAACAAATTGCCCCAGTTAACTGCTAAGATATAGTTCCACGTTGTGCTATGTTTCCTGCAAAGCTTAACATGCTAGGCAAATTCGTCAGTAAAGTAGATATTGAAATGCATTGTGTTGTAAAGAAATCTTATGACACCTTTCAGATGTTAACTTATACAATGCGGCCTCGTCAGCCAAAATAATTTGATATGCATTGTGTTGTAAAGAAATCTTATGACACCTTTCAGATGTTAACTTATACAATGCGGCCTCGTCAGCCAAAATAATTTGATATGCATTGTGTTGTAAAGAAATCTTATGACACCTTTCAGATGTTAACTTATACAATGCGGCCTCATCACAAAGATTCGAAATAAGTCATAAAATAGCCTAAAACTACCCTGAACATGAATAAACTCGGTGCACGCATATGGGCTCGACCCCTCGCATGTACGCCACCCCAAGACCATAGACAACATCAACAATTCAAGTAACTAGTCCCTAAAGCCAAGGCTTGTCATGATACTTACCTCAAACAAGTCAAATCAATACTCCAAGAATGCCTTCCCATGCGAATCGATCTCCGAACGGCTCGAATCTATCCCAAAATAACTCAATGAAGTCAAATAAAGCCATAAAAAACAACCCTAAACATTAAAATTCCAATCTTTAATCAAATCCATAAAATTCAACCCCGATCCACACAGTCAAAACTCGAGTCAAGGGGTAGATACCAACTACCCATAACCCCGCAAGTCTAAATATGTGATTAGATTTCAAACCAAGTCCAAATCGACCTTCAAATCTCTAATTTTCACTCTTTTAAGTTGTAGGAAACCCCCCCAAATTTTCCTCAAAATCCCACATTTTGGGTGTTAATAATCCACGTAAATTCTTGAAATAACATAAAAAATATGTAAAAATCACTTACTCCAATGTCTTGCATGAAAATCTTCAAGCCAAAATTGCCTCTCCCAAGTCTAGGATTCAAAATATGGAAGAATGGGCTAAAATCCCGAAATACAACTCTTAAATGGTCTGCTCACGGGTACCCTTCGCGAACGTGGCACGTGCCTCGCATTCACGAAGCACGAAAAGTCACTGCCCAAACATAAACCTTTGCGTTCGCGGACTCCCCCTCCCAAATGCGATGCATAAGCATGCCCCTCCGCGAACGCGAATACTAGGCGTGAACCCAAAGAAGGAAACTGCCCAGATCAGGATCACACTCCGCGAACGCAACTGCCCTATCACGAACGTGAAGAAGAAACCTCCCCAGCACCAAAATATGCTCCGGGATCGCGACCATGCCTCCACGATTGCGATGAAGACCTGACACCAGTAAATTTTCTGCAACACTAACAATGCTCTGGGTGGTCGAAAACTCACCCGAGCCACCCGGGACCTCGTCAAATCATACCAACATGTCTCAATACTTATTCCGAACTTATCAAAATGCTCAAAACACCTTGAATAACATCAAAACCACGAATAGATGATCAAACCACAAGTTAAGCTTCTCTTAAGTTCATCAAATTTCAAACTTCAAACCATGCGTCCGATTCAAGTCTAACCATTCTGGATTATAACCAAATTTTGAACACAAGTCCCAAAATGACAAAACAAAACTATTCCAACCTCTGGAACAACAATCTAAGCCCGATATCATCAAAGGCAACTTCTGGTCAAATTTAGGAACTCTCCAAACCTTTAAATTGCCAACTTTCGGCAAAGAGGCCCAAAACATCCTCAGAACCTCAAAATCAAAATACGGACATACGCCTAAGTCCAACATCACCATGCGAACCTATTAGAACCATCAAAACTAGAATCCAAGGTCATTTATACAAAAGACAAACCTTGGCCCACTCTTATAACTTAAGCTTCCAAAATGAGACTAGGTGTCTCAATTCACTCAATAACTTTCCCGACACCAATCCCAACCATCCTTGAAAATCACCAAACATCAAATTCATATACGGGGGACATCAAGTAGGGGAACGGGGATAAAATACACAAAATAACCGGCCGGGTTGTTACATTCTCCCCCTCTTAAAAAAACATTCATCCTTGAACTAGTTTAGAGTCATACCTAAAGTGCCAAAAAGGTGAGGCTATTTGCTCCGCATATCATGCTCGGTCTCCCAAGTTGCCTCCTCTACCAGTTGAACTCTCCATTGAACCTTAATCGATGAAATATCCTTTGACCTCAGCTTTTGAACCTGCCTATCCAAAATTGCCAACGGCTCCTCATCATAAGTCAAATCATTGTCCAAGTGCACCGAGCTGAAATGAAACACATATGACAGATCCTTATAGTACTTCCGAAGCATGGAAACATGGAACACCATTTGAACTCCTGACAAGCTGGGTTGCAAAGCAAGCTTATAAGCCACCTCACCAACTCTCTCCAAAACCTTGAATGGACCAATAAACCTTATGCTCAACTTATCCTTCTTCCCAAACCTCATCACACCCTTCATAGGCAAAACTCTGAGTAGAACCTTCTCACCCACCATGAATGCCACATCACGAACCTTCCTATCAGCATAACTCTTCTGCCTGGACTGAGTGTGCGAAGCCTCTCCTGAATCAACTTCACTTTCTCTAAAGCATATCGAACTAAATCTGTGCCCAATAATCTAGTCTCACCGAGATCAACCAACTGAAGAATGATATTGCCTCCAATATAATGCTCATACAGAGCCATCTGAATGTGAGACTAGTAGTTGTTGTTATTTGAAAACTCTGCTAATGGTAGAAACTAATCCTATTGGCCTTCGAAATCTATAACATAGGCTCTTAACATATGCTCCAAGATCTGAATGGTCCGCATAGACTGCCTGCCCATCTGAGGATGAAATACTATACTCAACTTAACCTGCATTCCCACTCACGCTGGACAGCCCTCCAGAAGTGCAATGTAAACTGAGTGCCACGATCCGAGATGATAGAAACAGGTACACCATGCAAGCGAACAATCTCCTAGATATAGATCATAGCCAACTGCTCTGAAGTGTAGGAAGTCATGACAAAAATTATATACGCCGACTTAGTCAGCCGATCCATAATGACCCAAGCAACGTCGAACTTCCTCAAGGTCCATGGCAACCCTACCACAAAATCCATAGTGATACGCTCCCACTTCCATGCTGGTATATAAATCATCCGAAGTAAACCACTGGGTCTCTGATGTTTATACTTGACCTACTGACAGTTCAAACACCGTGCAACATGCCTAATAATGTTTTTCTTCACCCTTTTCCACCAGTAATGTTGTTTCAAATCATGATAAATCTTCGTAGCACCTGGATGAACAAAATAGAACAAAATACAGTTAATTATGAGCCTCCTTAAGAATCAACTCTCTCAAGCCATTCACATTAGGAACACAGATCTGACCCTGAAGCCTCAATACCCCATTATCACCAATATTCACCTCCTTAGCATCACTATGCTACACCGCGTCCTTAAGGACAAGCAAGTGGGGATCATCATACTGATGAGCCTTAATGCGCTCAAATAATGACGACCAAGATATAACACACGCAAGGACTCTGCTCAGCTCTGAAATATCCACTTTGTCCAACCTATTGGACAATGCCTAGACATCTATAGCTAAAGGTCTCTTCCCAGTTGGAATGAAAGCCAGATTCCCCAAACTCTCTGCCTTTCTACTCAAGGCATCTACCACCACATTACCCTTCCTCGGATGATAGACAATACTGATATCATAATCCTTCAATAGCTCCAACTATCTTCCCTGCCTCAAATTAAAATCTTTTTGTTTAAGCAGATGTTGGAGACTTCAATTCTCACAAGACATGCCATATATCTAATGCCTCTAATTCTTGAGCCCGTATATAATTGCTGCCAGCTCCAAATCATGCACTGCATGGTTCTTCTCATGAGGCTTCAACTGACACGACACGTAGGTAATCTCCCTA